GGCTCCAAATTTTCTTTAACAGAGAGTCTCCAGACTGATCGCGAGTGAAACCTTGAAAGCTCGCGAGATCAGGATGGTCTCACGAGGCTAATGGATCTCTGCAGCTCCACCAAAATTGCCATTTTGGTTTTCCTTACCTGACCTGTCCGTTTATTTGGACAGCCATGTCTTAGTATACTAGCTGTTGGTTCAAACCTTACATATGTTCATACAATGAATTTGAGAATAATCTGTCAGATTTCCAAAGCTTAGGACATTGGGCAGTTGATAATGCTGTCCGTAGCCTTCCTCATGTGTTCCTTGGTATTTATTATGCTATTTTTTCACTGTTATCTTCTAACTCCCTCTAAAACCTTCACAGGACAGCCTTAGAGTGAAACAACCTAAACATGAATGTATAGGAGTCTGGATTTTTATGGCTGATATGCAAATTGAAAAATGGAAGTGGAGACATACATATGTTCATCCCACTTCAAAAGTATGTTTATTTTGCTGGTATTCTGTTAATAAAAAAAGAAAATGTCTCAGAGGTAGGAAAACTCTTGCACTGTGTCCTACATTTCGAGAAAACAACAACATGGTAGTTTATAGACAAAGTGTTCACCAAGAAGAAGCTCTGGCAATACACAGAAGTATTACAAAATAAAACCAAAGGAAAATGGAAAACAGAAGCTGAGTAAAAATGAGATGTCTGGCATTGTCATCGTCATCATCTAAAATTGTGTGCAGATTTTAACTTTAGACTTCATAGTTTTTACAGACTGTTTTTTTAACGACAAAGTTGCTCTTTTAATGCAGTTGTAATGTTTATTCACATCTAAAATCTACCGAGGTTCAAAAACCTGGAGCAACATGAGTTAGGCGCCATCTAGTGTTCAAAGGCTGGTATGTCATATTTTGAAAGCAGACGTGTGATGCAGAGGGTGTGCATAAATCTATCAAATAGCGATTACAGTTAAAGTACAACCGGAAGTTATCATTGTAGTTGGAAATAAAAGAAGGGGTAAAAGGAAGCAGTAGCTTTGCATTATCAAAGCTACTTACAAAGTTTAAAGTGAGGTTAAATCTGCAACAAATGCGGCTTATACTAATGCACAAGTAAATTATATCTATTTATGGTAGCACTGAGGCTCTGTATAAGAAAGGTCAGAGCAGACTCTTCCTGCTGGTCTTTTGGAGTGCAGCGGGTGCTTTTAAAAACCTTCTATGACTCAATTGTGGCATCAGCCATCTTCTATGGAGCTGTCTGTTGGAGCAGTGGTTTATCTGAGAGAAAGCAGCTGGATAAAGCTAATCAGAAAGGCCAGTTCTGTGATTGGATGACTCAGTGCAGGAGGTGGGAAACAAAAGGATTCTAACTGAACGAATATCTCTGTTGGATAATGTCTCCCACCCCATGCATGAGCTCCTTCAGCGACAGACTGCTGCACCCTAAATGCACCAGGGAGCATTATCACAGATCCTTCCTCCCAGCAGCTGTAATGCTCTATAACCACCACTGTTCCCACAACCTGAATAAGTTGTTACATTCATGCTGATTTTGCACAGTTTCTACCTTAGTCAGTTAAATAACACACTGCTTTCATTTTGCACATCTCTGATGTTGTTGCTACTTTTCAAATATCCATTACTGTAAAAATGTCCAAAGCTGTATATTGGTTATTTAAGTTTTTTTTTTATATTCACTAATATGTTAGTCATATACACCTTTTCTAAGGTCCACATTTTTGTGATTATTTTTTTCTATAATCCTTTTGCTGCTGTAACACCAGAATTTCCCCATGGTGGGACAATAAAGTGATTTTCTATTCTATTCTATTCTATTCTATTTCAGCAAACTTTTCATTATTTTCATATAGCACTCAATGGAAAGTCTTTAAACCTACTGGTTTCTAAATGATATGAAAAAGGTTGATTGGAAAATGACAAATGGAAATGGAAAAACTTAAATAAAAAAATAAAATAAATCATAATTTTAAAGTTATACCAGTAAAGCTAGTTTTGTGCTTCCACAGAAGTTTAATAACTTTATGCCACATTTCATGTACACATATGCAATTACTCATTTTCTTTACATGCATAAAAGTACAACAAAGTAAACTTTAGCATGATGTTTTTTTCAAACCCAGTTTTAGTGGGTTTATATTTGAAACACGGTGTCATTATCAATTATGCACTGCTGTATTTTGTGCAGTCTTATTGCATTATTGGCAATCACCATGTTCACTATATAGGTCTCTTGCTCTGGAGTGAACATTCTTCCTCTGCCACCAACATCTGGACATCTAGCAATTCTGTAAAGTAACAATTTCTGTATTTTTGCATGTATGGTACTGTTGTTTTTCTCATTATAGTATACTGATTCTCATTTCGAAATGTCCTTATGATCCTTAAATAAGCCACAGCTTACCTGTGGCTTATTTATAGTGCTTAGGCTGATTGCAAAGTGAACTAATTATCTAAAACATTTTTCACATGTGAAAGTGTGCCAGACAGTTGGCAAAATAGTGTTAATGATAGCCATACATGTGTATAATTTTGCTAGGAGTGTGTTGGAAATGTGGTAATAGAGTGTTGTGCAGTGAATTGTGTCTACAGTTTTGCAAAATGTGTGTTACAAAATTGCAAACTGAGTGCAATGCAGTGTTTGTGCTTTTAGTTTTGCAAACTCAGTGAGTGGTTTTGCTATACGTATTAATAGTTTTAGAAATTGTGCTACAAGCAATTGTGCTTAAGCATTCAGAAAAAACTGTAAACTGAAATTACATTTAAAAATCAGTGAACTTTCTTTTATTTTTTCATTGGCCCTAATCGTCTTCCGTATAGATTGTATTGTAGCAGAAAAAAACAAACAAAAAAACCCGACAGATGTAAACTTGTGAAAACTTTTGTTAGGTAAGTGGTATTATTATTACCTCACCTTATCACAAAATGTGGTTTAAAAACTTGGGGTTGGGGCAGTAGTTGCCGCTGTGACCACCCACTTTTATTTTGAAGGTCCTAACCGGAAGCTCTAACATGTTACGCTTAGGTAGACTCGTACTTCGCCTGTCGCGGCTGCAGGCAAATCCCACCAACAGCAGGCACAGCATGGCATACAGTGCGAAGATAGGTCCGTCTATCCTGAGCAGCGACCTGTCCTGTTTGGGCAGCGAGTGTGTCCGGATGATGGAGTGCGGGGCGGACTATCTGCACCTGGACGTTATGGACGGGTCAGTTTCTCCCGGGCTTCCTTAGCGAGCATGCTAATAGCTAACAAGCTAAACACAAGCTCTGAGAGCAGAAGTTGGCTAACATCAGAAAGCTAAGTTAGCAGATAAAAAGTTAAGCCGTTAAATGTGAGTTTTCTAAGAGTGTCACTTCTCGAGTTTTTAATCTACATATAAAAGCATTTAGAATATAGTATTGCCTACTTTAGACTTTAACCTTCCTTTTTATCTTTAATAGGTAACCCCTGCTTTCCAGGATCTGATTAAATTCACAGTTGATGAGGCAGTATTGGAAAATTGCTCAACAGCTGTTTCTGTTGACCTTTTCAGGCACTTTGTCCCCAACATCACATTTGGACATCCCATGGTAGAATGTCTGAGGAAGACTGTAGGCCAGGACCCTTTTTTTGGTGAGAAGGGAGTCATCCCAGAACATGCAATATCAAATGATGAACATAATTCTAAATGTGCTCCACTCTTCTCACATCCTTGCAGACATGCACATGATGGTGTCCCGACCAGAGCAGTGGGTGAAGCCGATGGCTGCAGCAGGAGCCAACCAGTACACCTTCCACTTAGAGGCCACCACCAACCCTGGAAACCTCATCAAGGAGATAAAGGAGAGCGGCATGAAGGTTAGAGATCATAATCAGAGACAATGGGTCTGCAGATTTTCATTTAGTTCAGATGTGTCTTATAATAGTATTCAAAAATACTTTAATTTATGGTAATAAACTTGCACTATTTAATGCCTACTATGTGTTACCAGAAATCCAAACCCTTGTTCGTGATTTATATTCCTAGTTAAATGTATACTCTGTAAGCATACATTGACTCTAAACTAAAAGTTCATTCAAATTGGTTTAGTTTATTACTTAAGAGAAAATGTATCAGTATATGGGTCTTATTACAGAAACTGCAAAGTCAGAGCTTGAAAAAATCTGCATCTTTTCTCCAATGCTTTTCGTGTATGTTGGTTTTATAATATATAAGGCACACATTTCTAGTGCTTTTAGTTAATTCTCATTATGTATTTTCATACAGTATTAAAGTATTTTCCCTCTCCTAGAGTATATCACTACTAAACATAATATTACCCGAAATAAAGGCTTATAATAATGGTTATCATGTTAAAAAAAAAAAATATATATATATATATATATATTTATATATAACTCCAAAAAAAAAGTATATATATATACACACACACACACATATATATATATATATATATATATATATATATATATATATATATATATATATATATATATATATATACAAAACCATACAAAATTTCACTTAGTACAGCTTTTCAGATAATTAATTTCCATTTCAAAAAGTGAACAAATGTACACAATGTGGAATAAAAAAACAGGGTGCAAAAAACTAATTTATGTGGAAGTTCAAAGCATTAAATGTGTATAGTTCAAATAAGCAGTATTTTTGGTTTGGTGTTATCAGTGTGATGCAGAGTCTGTGACTTGATTTAGCGTTTTTTTCAACAATTCAGCAGTCTGATGGCAGTGGGGAAGAAACTGTTGCAGGAAATGAAACAAAATAAATGCATTTTTTTAGTCTCTGGTATAAGTTTGTATTTCATTTCATTTTATTTCTGCAGGCACCATTTATTAAGATAGGGTTTATTCACTATTTCCATTTCTGGTCAGGTTTTAACTCACCAGTCTTTGGTCCAGACCTTTGGTGCAGTTGTGAATACACTCTAAAGCAAACCCTGATCCAGACCAAGCTACTGAACTGAGACACACCTCAATTTAATCCACATACAGAAAACATAAAACCTTTGGCTCGTAAGGCACATCCTCCAACAATATTTCACAATTAGAAATGAAACATCTCAAAACCTGAATTGAATAAGCTGTTGACACTTTTGATTTTGCAGATGTAATAACGACAAAAATACCCAAAAAGAGGTGCATCATGAAGGAATAGTTTTCCTCCTTCTTAAAGTAGAGCTGTATCTTACCCATGTCCCTTCATTCCAGTGGGAGCAACGATCGTTACATGCTTTTTGTAGAATTTAACGTCCACTTGCTTACAGTAAAACCTGAAAGCAAACAATAAAATAAAGGTCTTCTTTTTTGTTCTGGGTCACATTAATGGGTAAAAGGACTTTTCTAGTCTGAATAAATATTAAAATTCTTTAAAAGACATTTTCGTAAATTCCTTTTCAGGCTTGTGATAATGGAATTAAAGCTGATATTTAATTTTTTCCTTTTGTCATAGGTGGGGTTGGCGATAAAGCCTGGTACCACAGTGGAAGAACTGGCACCTTGGGCTAATCAGATCGACATGGCTCTGGTCATGACAGTGGAACCTGGTTTTGGAGGACAAAAGTTCATGGAGGACATGATGCCTAAGGTAAAGAAATGTAACCAACATTATCTTTTCATTATTGGTCACAATTAGGGTTGTAATATGCTTTAGTGTTAAGCTATAAACTTGGCATAGGAATTTTTAAAATGTCAATATCACTAGAACCACCAGGGGGAGCCATTTAGAATCCATGCCAGAGGTGTCTTAACTATGACAAACACTTTCCTTAATTATGCAGACAAAGGGCTGGACTGCAAAAAATATCTATCTTATCTATCTGGGCTTCTTTAGGTCCAAAGATTTTATGCTGCACCTAGATGCATAAAATATTTGCATTTTATAGCTTTAATCAAAATTCCTTAAAATAACTTGGAAAAACATGGCTTTTTCAATCTGAAATTTGTGAGGGAGAATTTCAAAGCCTTAAACGGTTTGGGAAGCAGGTTTGGACCGTCCTAAACATAGGGTGGTTCTAGTACCGTTATTCTGCTGGCTCACAAAGAGATCTTTGGCAACATGCAAGAAAGTCTCAATTGAAACTAACAGACCAATTCCTGCACTTTTTCTGACCCCGAATGGTGAAATTTTTTAGCCCTATGGATGATCCCAATAGTTCCAGAACATAAAAGTTCACTTTAAATATAACATTTTAAAAGCAAAGGTTTTTTCATTCTTAAACAGTAATTGTTGAAAAGGATTTTCACTAAAACCTTAAAGCTGTGTTTTTGACAACAGTTTAGCTTCTTTATATATAGATGAATGTGAAGGCTTTGCCCTAGCTCTGGTTTACTGTGTTAATGCCACATGTGAGTATGTATTTTTAGCAATACGTGTGATACAGAGAACAATCTTTGATGTGGTGTAAATTGTGATTACTGGAAGGTGACTCTGTCAAATCATCCCCTGAGAAGCAGGTGTTTTGTGGTGTTCTTGGAGTGCTTTTTATCTGAAAGGGTGACCCTTGATGTCGATGACACGATGGTGTTAAAGCAATATCTGAAAGCTAACATATAAACTCTCAGTTATTAAATCTAATGTATGAGAATATAATTTTTATTAGTTGCTATCTACTAATATTTTTGTTTGTTTGAAAAAAACATTGCAACAGATCTCAAAACAGCTTCGTTTTCAGTTTATCTGATTTAAAATGTTGTCAGATATGCTTGACCTTTTCTCTGCTGCTGTGTGCATCACCCAGGTGAGCTGGCTGCGTGGTCAGTTTCCCTCATTAGACATTGAAGTAGACGGAGGCGTCGGTCCTGACACTATTCACAAGTGTGCAGAGGTAAATGATGCAAATATTAGAAAATCATTGAGTAGCTTAAACCTGTAGTAATAAGTGAATGCTCACCCTTTCCCACAGGCAGGAGCTAACATGATCGTGTCAGGCAGTGCTGTGATCGGCAGTGACGATCCTCGCTCTGTCATTGCCCTCCTGCGCACAGCGGTGTCCGAAGCTATTCAGAAACGCTCGCTGGACCGTTGACAGGTTGTGTTCATGAAAGTCAACAGGGATGTTGCACCCGCCCCTCACAACAAGAAGCCGTAGCAGCCGGAGGAAACGACTCAACATGGACATTTGTGAGACAAAAAGAGGTTGATAGGTCACAGTCTGAGCGAGGGGCTTCTGTTTGACTGTCAACGGCCAAAAACACAATCAGTGTGACTTTATTGAAGCTGCGTCACACCTGTTTTAACTACTCCTTCCAGAAGTTGGTCAGTTTAATGGAGCCTCGTTTCAGCAACTCCTGATTGAGGCTAATGTTTCTGCCAATAAACTCCGTAAGCATTCCAGGGTTCAGTCTTAAACCAAAATGGCCTGAGAAGCAGCTTTAGCAATCCTTCAGCTGGAATGGTTATTTTTTGTTTCCTTTTCATCTAGAATAATGATCCCCTAAAAGAAAATAGATTATGGTTTGTTCTCCATTTTGTTAACATCTCAATTTACTGAGTGTGCTACTGATTAAATGGATTGTATAATACTGTATTCCACAGGATTGTTTTTGCAGATTAAAAACTATGAAGTCTTTATGGACCTACTGTGATTATTATACAGTCACCTGGAATATGATCACCCAACTTCTTTAAGCTAACCTTCACAGTAAATTATTAAAAACTCACCAGAAAAAGTTGCAGCTCAATTTCCTCAGGCAGTCCTGTCTCAAAATAACCTTGTATATCCAAAGAGTTAAAAATGACAATTTTCTGATAATTTAATGACCTAACATTGTAGATATCCTAATATACACCAAAAGTCTTTGCTCACACATCCAAATAATCAAAATCCGATCATCCGGTAATTTTCACGACCAGAGGTGTGGAAAAAATAAAACACCAAGACAGGCAGACTTTCAGAAAGCAAGTTTCACTCTCATGAGCTCAATTTATTACAATGCATCTACAAACAATGAGATAAGTTCACAGATAATGGTGAGGAAACATAACGTCATGGAAGGAGAAATGTTCTCTTTGAGGTAGAAGTTCATAAGAAATCTACAAGGTTGACTCCCAGATGCAAAACTAACAGCTGAAATGGAAAAGAACATGTTATGATATGAGACATTGAAATGTGCATGTGGACAAATTGCATCAATTAAGCTTTTTAAACAGGTGCTTATTGTTAGAATTGCCACTAACTACGTCCCTTTTTAAGTTCAACAGACGGTTTTAAATATGAAGAGAAATGTGACTATTTCTAATAGATAACTGATTAACCTTTAGCCCAAAGATGATAAATGTAAGCTTTGAAATTAACCATAAAATTTGTCACCTTATGTAAAATGCTTTAAGAGAACAGCGGGGGGAGTCCTAAACATGACAGCAAATTTCCGTGAATGAAAAGTCTTCATGTGTATTGATATGCAGTCGGCCCTCTGCTAAAGATATAATCAAATCCACTTCCAATCAGAGGTTTATATCAAGCTGTGATAATGAATGTCATATGGGGAATTCATTTGTTTTTATTGGGGGACTGATTATGCAACATGCAACTTTAATACCATCTAAGAGAAAAAAAAATTGGGTTATTTACAGATCAATTTTAGTATCTTCAAAGCTAAATAAATACATATTTCCTTCAAGTCACAGCTAAATACATTTTATTGCACAACTTTTCATCTAACAAATTATAGCAGGGATTAGGCTTTTAACCCTGGGTCGTAAAATTTCCACAGGTTGAAGCTCCGCGGCCATTCCAGAGGTTTAACATAGGTTTCCTTCATCCATTCCAAGTCAAAGTTTTTTCAGTGTCTTTTGAGATATTTTCCTCATTGAGTTAGCCCCCTAGAATAGTGCTACATTACCCTGCCTGACAGTGTTCACAACGTTCTTCACCTTAACTCCATACTTTATTGTTATAGCTCAACACCTTGATTTTTACTTTATTTTGAATCACAGCACTGCATTGTTCTCAGTCACTGTTTTTCCTCAGATTTACACTAATCAGAGCCAATACTTGTTTGTTTCTGAACAAAGCCAAAGCTTTCAGATTCAGCTAGGGAAGATGCAGTTGTAGAAACTCACTAAATCTGACCCTAATGAACAGATACTGCACTGAAAAAAAGACTGAGGGTCTCTGTTGAGACTGCTGCTCTGCAACCCATTCCGTCATAAGGGGAAGAAATGTGGTCCAGTATTCCATTTATTGGGCAAACTGTTTCTGAGACTCTCAAAACTGTTTTGACATGAAGCTGTTTTATAAACAGTTTATTTAGATGCATGTCAAATAATTTGCATTGAGGTGATCATATTTTACTTCTGGGGGAGAACTTAGAAAATAAATGTACTCATTCATCCTCTTACCTCAGGGCTTTAAACAGACTCCAGACTAATACGTTTATATCAAATTGTGTCTTGTTTATACATTTTATCGATTATCTTCATTATAAAAATCATCTGAGAGACCCTCTGTGTTGAGTGGCTGATGACCTCACAGTGGATTTTGTAAAGTAAAAGCGGATTTAACCCAACTGGAGGGTCTCCTCTATCATCGATTTCAAAATTGTTTTGTATCAATACATCCTTAAAAGCATCTACCTTTTTTTTTTCTAACTTCCTCTGATGAAGGCAAATACTTAAAATCTATATTACATTTGAAAACATACTATACAGGGTCAAGTTCAGTTTTTTGTTTAAAATTTTCTTTCTGTATATTTACATATATATACATATATGTTTGCTATACATTATGTTTGCTTTTAAAATAACTCATTTATCTCTTGTTATATCCATTCACATTATTACATTTTGATTGATAATATATTCTCATAAGATATTCCTCTCAGTCCTTTGTGTAAAGTGTGTAATTTAGGCTCCTGGGAAATATAATTTTACCCATCACACAAAGCTTTGATAGCATTTACATTATTTAATGAAGCTAATTATTTTATAATATAAATGTAATGAAAGAGCTTATTAACAGTTAATCAATGGTCTATCATTTGTAAAAGCAATTTCATTATGATTTCATAACTGCTTACAGTAGGAACCACCAGCACCTCTACCCGCCCCATCATTGACTGCAAGGAAATGAGGGTTCAGATGTTGGATGGATAAAAAAAAAAGAAAAAAAAAATAGTAATTCATTCTTGAAACTCTAGGTGGCAACCTTGTACAGAAATATCTACAAAAAACAAACAAACCAATGAATAGTGATTAAACTGTGGAGGGTTCTGAATAAATTAGTGAATAGGATTTGTTTTACAACTCTTTTTCACTGAAAACACATTTCTCTTATCTATAATACATTCCGACTGTGTGGTAGAAACATCATAACACTGACTCCATCAGAGACTTTGGGTGTGCAATGAGCTCAGATGTGTTCTGTTATGAAAAAAGCTGGAAAAATAAAAATGGCTCATTGTGAAGATATATATATTTTTTCTTTTAACTTTGACCTCTTTTACTCAGAAACTTCAACCACTGACTCTTTCAACCAGTGGATCAGTTTAGAAAGGTGAATAATGTTCAGTGTCTAATCCAACTTAGTGTGCAAGATGTTTTCTTAGGGAACACTAGTTTACATTGGCACAAAAAAATCTGAAATCCCTTCGAATGAAGACGACCAAAGACCTAAAACAAGTCTATTGTCTTCCCCCTCTCTGAAAGTATCCCCCCCTGTCAGGGAAAATCACCCACTACATGCTTCAAACTGCAAACAGCTCTCTCTCAATAATTCAGTGCATGTCTTGGAGGCAATTTGCAGGCCCTCTGAAATATTGATGCCTAAAATCTGTATTTTCATTTAAAAGTCACACTAAAACGGCAGATAACTTTATCCTCCTTGCTCACTGGATCGTTGTGTGTGCAAATGTTTATTTAAACATATGTACCAGTTCAAATCGAGTGTGTGCATGCAACAATAGTGTGAGTCTGATGCATGAATTTGTAAATGCGGGAATCTCCTGTGACAAATTTCTGCTCTAATAGATCACGACAAGTATTTTGTGTGCTAGTGTCATCGCTGCCTCGCAAAGAGAGAAAGACAATCCGTACGAGGGGGAGCTGTCAGCATCCACACATGCTCCACGCTACTTAAGCCATGTTGCAGTCTCATTATCTTCTACATGACAGGTGTTGTTTCTTTCCAGATTGTCTTGAGGTGTTTTCATTTGCTTATTTGGTATCTGGAGGTTTATAATGAAAAAAGAGAGCAAAAGAGTCAGAGGATTCCCATACAGTGAGTTATAGATGCATGAACACACGCTGCCTTTGAATTTAGGAATCAAATTATGCCATAAAAATATTTCCTCCTCTGGTGTCCTGACACCTGCAGGTACAGCTGCTGTCTCGTATGATTCAATCAGTCCTAAAAGAAATCAGTACCTGTTTATCATAAAGTTTTCAGAAGATAGCTTACATGTGAATCATCAAAGTAGCCTCATTCTGCTGTTTTCACATTTGTCATGCATAGCCACATGTTGACATCGTAATAATGCAGGTAAAATAAATCCCCAAAACTTTGGTAACCATTCAGTGCATCTTATTGGATATATTTTTAATAGATCAACAGAATGTAGTCCATAATTGCAAACATCATCATTTGCAAGGTCATGAGATCCAATAGAGTTCTGACTTGTAAGAAACCGCAGCTCCACCTCTGTTCTAGATGACTGTAGTGAAAAAAAGGAACAAAATATTTCTCAGAAAATAACTCAGAACTTCAGGGATCTTTGAAGTTGTGCAAATGATGATGCAAGTTGCTGAACAAAAATGTTTTTTCATGTTTTCCTTTTATAATCAATAATCTGCTGTACGTTAGTAATCAGTCACTAAGGTCAAAACTTGTAGAGCAGCTGCAAGTATTTAGGGGGTATGTCTCTTCCAGTGTTGCACATCTAGAGAGTTCAATAATCTTTCTTTTTTTTTGCAAAAAAGAAGCAATTCAGATTAGTTGGAAGAAACTTTTAAACCCCAATCATCAATGCCTCAAAAGATTTTTTTCAGTTGGAAGGTAAACCTCTTTCCCTTCAGCTTCTATAGGCTTGTTATCAGCCAAATCAGAAGATGGTGCTACTCCCTCTGCCTTTCACCTGTCTGTCTATAGAAGTCCACTGAAGAGACAACTGGAGAGATTGAAT